TTTTTCTATGATATTGAGAGTATATGAGCATTTCTTTCATTTTCATTATAGTTATATCTAATTAATAATATATAGGAATATAAAGTTTTCTTGAGCGCTACTATTCAATAGTGCGCTATATCTGTATTCTTAAATATATATATCGAACTTAATATAAGTATAGTTTGCTTTGAAAGCTTTATATAGAAATTATTCTAATCTAATTATCTGCAGTTTCTTTACAAGCGATTCTATTCTTTTGAAGTTGTTAAGAGCTGCTTATTCCTCTAAGCCTGCTTCGCTGCTTCTTGAGCAAGCTTCTTAGCTTGCTTTTGCTCATATCATTATTATTCCTAATCTCTTCTCTATTAATGCTAATTGCAAATCTTATTATTAATATAAATCATATAAAGCATTATTCTGCATTGCTACTATTCTATTTTCTTATTTATGCATTATTTGGAGCAGTTATCTGATAGTTCGATGTATACATTGTAATGCTGCTTATTAAGAACTTTTCTAAAGCAAAGTTTCTGTTTCTCAACAGCTTGAAGGATTTGTTCTAATTCTCTAATAGGAAATCATTCATGTTATATCTTCTTCGAGAAATGCGTTCTGCAGCTATAATAGATGCAGGAGATCTATATCAGTTTGCAGTATAAGTTGTAAAGTGAGCTGATTTAAGAATTCTTATCTTGTTATGCTTTGATATTTTGCAAGAGAATGCAGATAAAGAGCTCTTCTAGCTCTATCTTATAGATAAGATATTCAATTTATATTGTTTTCTTGTTCTACTCAATGCTAAAGAGAAACCTTTCTATAAGCTTATTAAGTTTATTGTTTATAGGAGATTCTAGTGAATTACTAGATCGTTCGTCTTAGCTAGTTTCTTTTGTTGCCCGAGAAGCATTTTCGGTATTATTTCAGTATTTATACTAATAACTAAGAGGATATTATTCTTTATTCATATCCCTGATTATAGTGTTTAGTATAGATAATAAGAAATAATAAAGAGTATTATTGCTAAGTTCTTTCTCTAATGCTTAAATGCTTTATTCAGTAATACTAAAGCAGTTCGAATTGCTGCTGCTTATAGTTATATTAAGCATATATACTCGCTCTGCTATCGCTATCTATCTGCAATGCTTAGATTTCTAAGGAAACTATTCTGAATCTTTCTTACTTAAGAAATATATTAAGTAGTTATTATTATAACAGAATGTTCAGCTGAGACTTCTATAATCAATAGAGTTTAATATTTGCTCTGAGAAGATGTTTTTGCTTAGTTGATTAAGTTTCTATTATTAAGCAACATTTATCTAGTATTCTTTCTGAACTGATTGCTATTTATTCTTTCGGAATTAATAGCAATTGCATGCTATATATTCCTGTTTATTGCAGTTATAGCAAGTGATGCTGTTTCTTTTGCTATACTATTTATTAGCTGTATTAAGTTTCATGAAACTAGCATGCATAGTGCTGCTCTAAGCTATACTGCTATATTAATCGCTATTTTTGTTTTGAAGTTTCTTGCTTATATTAGCTGGAAATCTTCAAGTTTAGCTTTCTTTCTTTTTAAATTTCTTTATCTGTTGTTCGTACAGATAGTTATTAATGCGGATTGCTTAGTTGGAGAATATTGTAAAGTTCTCTAGCTAATTCTGCTTAAAGATCTTATTCTTAATATTATTCTTGAGTTTCTTGTAATAATGCTTCATAAGATTCTTATTTTCCTATAGAAGTCTTGTTAAGAATTGCTTGAATCTAATTATATAAGCAGAAGCTGATTTAGTTTGTTTAAGATTTATAAGCTGCTAAGCTATAATGCATTCTTTATTAAAATTACTAAAGATTTTCTTAAAAGCTTTTTCAAAGCTTATAAAGAAATTGAATATATTTTTAGTACTCTGGATATGCATATCGGAATTATTCTAGTGCTCTAAGTAATTGTATAGAGAAGGTTTGTATCAGATAAGAGCATTCTTTTCGAAATGAGTTTCTGCAAGAATAATCTTCTCAGATTCTATAATGAACTGAGTTGCATAGTACAAAAAATATGCTCTGCAGTAAATAAGGAACTCATATAGTATCTTCTGATTATTATTATATATAGCAGATTTGTTTATCTTATATACTTTTCTAGCATTATTAGTAACTGCAGAGATGAACTATGCCTGCTGTGCTTGCTAAGCAAGCTAAGCTTACTAGTTAGCGATAATAGCGCTCTAAGCCTGCTATTGATTGCGCAGATCCTGAATACGCTGAATAAGCTGATATACCTGATTAATCAGTTCTTTCTGAGTAGGAGCGCATGAGGATAAAGAAGTTCTCTGAGAAGCTATCGTATTCCGTATTGCTCAAGAGAATAATACTAAACCGTTCTTGAACAAGAGTTATCAAAATGTAATAAGCACTGCAGTAATCCAAAGATTCCAAAATATACAAAGAAGTTTATGCTAACAAGAGCGGTATCAAAGTATCAAGTTCTTGAATACAGAACTGTACAAGTTCTAATAAGCAATGCAAGTATTTACTGCTTTTGGAGCTACTTAGTATATAAGATTGAATACTTAGATTAATAATTGAAGAGCTATGTACTGAATTTATCTAATGGTAATGAATGTGTTCTTATATATTCAGCTCTTCAGTATGAATATATTGGATAGCAACATATCCGAGTTATTCTGCTAGCTCTGAATAGCACATATCCAGAGCTATCCTTCCTGATTGGTTGCATCCATAACCCTAACCCTGGGTTATGTAATCAGTGTTTTGTCAGAACGTTGGGTTCTTAACACCTGGTCCTTGTTGCTCGTAACCTGTTCCGTGACCTGCATGTTGGATGGGTCATAACAATATACCAACGAAAGTACTGCCTGAACCAGCTATTTAGAAGTGAATTTAGCATTTTGGAGTGCTTGAGTATGGATGGAGAGATGTTGAATAGCTAGGTAGCTACTTTTATATACTCTAGCTATAGGTCTTTCAGTAGTTTAGCTGATAATAGAAGAACTAGCGTACGCTTCTGAATTTCATGCTCAGCTTGCTCAGCAGCGCTATTTAACTCTTTCATATGCAGTAAAGTAATCTCCAGATCAATGCTATTATCAGCATACTATTATATATATATTATTTCATATAGCTTTCTTATAACTAAGAAGTTTGCATTCTATCTGATTTTGCAGATAAAGAAGCAATATTAGCATTATACTCAGATTTCGAATAATCTAAGCATATCAAATACTGTAGATTGTGCCTTATTAAGTATTAGAAAAGCAAATAACTTGCTACTATACTCGTCTTTGAATATAAAAGCTTATTTTGAGCTATTCTGCACTTTATTATAATTGAGAAGATTCTAACTAATGCATTATAATAATCGAGAGCTGTAATGTTCAGATCTTGCATATTGAATAATCTTTGTAATGTATTCTAGAGTATAGTATTTACAGTTAATTCGTTTGATTCTGTTAATTCTAATATTATAAACTGAGTAAATGAGCTCCTTTAGAGCATTGATACTCAGATATTCCAATCTTAGATGCTAAAGATGCTCTGAATTACTTCTTTCAGATGCTTTATTATATGAAGAATGAGAATGCTTATTTCTTTTTAAAGTTGAGAATATGAGAATGCTAGGTCAGCTGTATAGCAGCATAGCTGAAGCTCGAGAGTAGAAAGAGTTTGTAAAAGGAATATATTCGAAGAAAACTAAGTTGAACTCTTTATATAGATTTGCAATTACTGCATTCTATTCAAGCATTTTTAAGCGCAATATGCTATTTTTGCTATAGTACTAGATTCGTTTCTTATATAAGAGAGCTTTAGCAATTATATTAATATGAAAGCTATCTATAACTGCTATACAGTTGAGAACTAGATTCTCAGTGCATTTTTCTCGCTTTCTATTTAGTGCATTTTTGAAGCATTGTTTTCCGAATTCCCGTATTAGCAATAATAAGCTCTCTGCTTTTATAACTTCTGCATCTTTTAAGAAAGAAAAGATATTTAGCTTCAAGAGATTAATGCTATTAATAAGATATATAGCTTTGCAGTTATTTAGAATTATACTTTAAGAAAGAATATAAGATATCTGAAATAATATTAAGAAAACTGCTATACTTGTGTTATGACCGATCCAACATGCAGATCACGAAAACAGATTACGAGTAACAAGGACCAGGTGTCAAGAACCCAACGTTCTGACAAAGCATTGATTACATAACCCAGGAGAAAAGATACAGGGATGGATCACCAGGAGCACCAGAAGCACAGCTCACCAAGCTTACCCGGATCACCGCAGTAATCCGTAGAAGCGCAGCCAGACAATGATTCATACTGAAGAGCTGAATATATAAGAACACATTCATTACTGTTAGATAAACTCAGTACATAGCTCTTCAGTTATCAATCTAAGTATTCAGTCTCATATACTGAATAGCTTCAAAGATAATAAATACTTGCATTGCTTATTAAGAACTTGTATAGTTCCGTATTCAAGAACTTAATACTTTGATACTGCTCTTGTTAGTATAAATCCTCTTTATATACTTTGGAATCTTTAGATTGCTGCAATACTTATTATATTTTAACAACTCTTGTTCAAGAATAGTTCAGTATTACTCTCTTAAGCAATATGGAATATAATAGCTTCTCAGAGAACTTCTTCGTTCTTGCACGCTCCTATTCAGAAAGAACTAATCAACTAGATATACTAGCTTATTCAGCGCATTCAGAATCTGCATAACTAATAGCAGGCTCAGAGCGCTACTATCGCTAACTAGCAAGCTTAGCTAGCTTAATATGCTCAGCAGATGCAGTTTACTTCTGCAATTATCAGTGATGCTGAGAAAGCATATAAGATGAACAAGCTTGCTATATATAATAGCAATCAGAAAACACTACATAAATTCCTTATCTACTGCAGAGCATACTTCTTGCATTATACAGCTTAGTTTACTATAGAATCTGAGAAAGTTATTCTTGCAGAAACTCGTTTCGAAAAGAATGCTCTTATCTAATATAAGCCTTCTCTATATAACCATTTGAAGTATCAGAATAACTCCAATACACATACTCAGAGTATTAAGAATATATTCGATTTCTTTGCAAGCTTTAAGAAAGCTCTTAAGAAAATCTTTAGTAATTCTAATAAAGAATATATTATAGCTTAGCAGCTTATGAATCTCAAATAGATTAAGTTAGCTTCTACTTATACAGTTAGATTCAAGCAGCTCTTAGCAAGATTTCTATAAGAAAATAAGAATCTTATGAAGTATTACTATAAAGAACTTAAGAATAATATTAAGAATAAGATCTCCAAGCAGAATTAGCTAAAAGACTTTGCAATATTCTTTAACTAAGCAATCTGTATTAATAACTATCTATACGAATAATAGATAAAGAAATTCAAAAAAGAAGAAAGCTAGACTTAGAGATTTCTAGCTAATACAAGCAAGAAACTCCAATACAAGAATAGCAGTTAATAGAGCAATACAGCTCAGAACAGCACTATACATGCTAATTCTATAAAACTCGATATAGCTAACAAGCAATACAGCAAAAGAAACAGCATTACTTACTACAACTGCAACAAATAGAAATATATAGCATACAATTGCTATTAATTCTAAAAGAATAAGTAGCAATCAGTTCAGAAAGAATACTAGATGAATATTACTTAGCAACAGAAACTCAATCAACTAAGCAAAAATATTCTCTTAGAGCAAGTATTAAACTCTATTAATTACGAAAGTCTCAGCTGAACATTCTGCTATAATAATAACTGCTTAATACATCTCTCGAGTAAGAAAGATTCAGAATAGTTCTCTCAGAAATCTAAGCGCTATTAGCAGATAGCAATAGCAGAGCGAGAGTATATGCTTAGTACAACTATAAGCAGCAGCAACTTGAACTGTTCTAATATTATTAAACAAAGCATTTAAGCATTGAAGAAAGAACTTAGCAATAGCATTCTTTATCATTTCTTATTACTTACACTAGATACTACAACTAGAGATATAAATAAGAGATAGTATTCTCTTAGCTATTGATACAAATACCTAGATAATGCTGAAAACGCTTCTCAGATAACAGAAGAATTCAGCTAAGACAGACAATCTAGCGATCTACCAGAGTCTCTCATAAACAACAAACTCAATAAGCTTAAAGGAAAGTTTCCCTTCAGCATTAAATAGAATAAGAAAACAATATAAATTAAATATCTCATCTATAGAATAAAGCTAAAGAAGCTCTTCACTTATATTCCCTTGCAAAATATCAAGATGCAACAAGATAAAGATCCTCGAATTAGTCTATTTCACAGCTTATATCACAAACTAGTATAGATCTTCTGCATCTATCATAGCTGCAGAATGCATTTCTCGGAGAAGATATAACACAAATAGTTTCTCATTAGAGAATCAGAACAAATTCTTTAAGCTATTAAGAAATAAGAACTCTACTTCAGAAAAGTTCTCAATAGATAGCACTATAATACATACATTAAGCTATCAGATGATTGCTCCAAGCAATGCATAAATAAGAAAATAAAGTAATAGCAATGCAGAACAATGCTCTGCACAATTCATATTAATAATAAGATTTGCAACTAGCATTAATAGAAGAAAGATTAGGAATAATGATAATATGAGCAAAGGCAAGCTAAAAAGCTTGCTTAAGAAGCAGCGAAGCAAGCTCAGAAGAAGAATAAGCAGCTCTTAATAATCTCAAAAGAACAGAATTGCTTATAAAGAAACTGCAGATAATTAGACTGAAACAGTTTCTATATAAAGCTTTTAGAACAGACTATACTTATATTAAGTTCAATATATACATTCAAGAATACAGATACAGCGCACTATTGAATAGTAGCGCTTAGAGAAACTTTATATTCTTATATATTATTAATCAAGCATAACTATAATAGAAATAAAAAAAGCAACTATACACTCTCAGCACTGTAAAAGAATAATCTATTGCATATAACCAAGGAATAATCAATAAGAAGATTAATTATCTATTTATCTTAATTCAAGAATATATAATCAAGATTTCCTTCAATATAATGAATACAGCATAGCATAAGCTAATTATAGAATTTTCATAGCTTAAAGAGCATAATTCTCGAATCAATTGAACTACTGGCTAGATCTCATGAAAACAAGCTATATCCAGAGAAATAGTTACAATCAATAGCATAGGATTGAAGCTAGTAATTGAAGAATACTCAGGAAAAGAAGCTTCATACAACTTCATATATACTTTCAAGTCAGCAGGGCTGGCAGTTCAAGGAGAAGGATCTAGTGATAAGCGAACCCAAACAGTGCTAGAGCGCTAACAGGTTAGCAAAACAACAGAAGCGAGGCTCTCAGTAAGTCGGTCCGCTTCGGAGCGACAAGGAAAAGCTTCAGAATGTGGATTGTGGGTTCACACAGAAACTTCGAAACCAGGCCCTCGAGCGGTTAGTCCGGCCCGGAGCGAACGCTCAAGGCTCTCAAAAACGCTACTAAAAATAACGAATGAAAAGAAGCACGCTCAACAATACTTACTATTCCTCCAGATAGCAGAAACAGCATATAAACCAGAACTAATACTTGCAAGCATATTACAAGAATATCACAAGTTCAAGAAACTATTCCAGAGAGAATTGAATACAAAACTGTTAGAATACAGCTTATATAATTACAAGATCCCACTATAAGAAGAAAAACAGCTCAAATTCTTCCCTATCTATAAACTAAATAAGGTATAATTAGAAGCACTTAAGAAGTATCTCAATAAGAATCTCAAAAAGAAATATATATAACTATTGCAATCACTAGCAGAATATCCTATTCTGTTTATACTCAAAAAGAATAAAAAGCTCAAACTATATATTAATTATAAATAACTTAATAATATTATAATTAAGAACTAATATTCATTACTACTTATTAAGAAACTATAAAATAGATTGCAAGAAGTATAATAATTTATAATTCTAAATCTAAAAGAAGCTTACAATCTGATTAGAGTAAAGAAAGAAGAAGAATGGAAAACTGCTTTCAGAATATGCTACAAATACTACAAATATTTGATTATGCTCTTCGGATTAACAAATACTTCAGCTTCATTCTAGAAAATAATCAATTACATTCTATACAAGCATCTGGATCAGTTCATCATTGCATACTTCGATAACATTCTTATTTATTCTCAGATACTAGAAGAGTATAGAAAATACGTGGAAACAGTATTGCAAACGCTTCAAGATGCAAAACTTCTTGTAGAACTCGCAAAGAATCACTTTTATATACAAAAGGTTAACTATCTCAGATTTACAATCAAACCAGAATGTATTAAGCTATAGAAAGATAAGATAGAAGCTGTTAGAAATTAGCTAATCTCTAAGAATATTAGAGATATTAAGTTTTTTCTTGAATATATTAACTTCTATAAGCAGTTTATTAAGAACTATAGCTGAATTATACATCTTCTTACAAATCTTACTAAGAAAGATCAGCTTTTCAAATAGATCTTTAAAGCACAGAAAGCTTTCAATAAGATTATCAAGTATATTACTTCAGAACCAGTTCTATATAAAGCAAACTCTTATAAGCTCTTTGAAATTAAAACTGATATATCAGAATATACACTTGGAAAACAACTGAGTTAGCAAGATAACTAAGAGCATCTCAGAATCATAAGCAACTTTTCGAAGAAGCTAAACAAACCAGAAATCAATTATAAAATCCCTAATCAGAAACTTATAACGATAATAAAAGCTTTCGAGAAATAGCAATACTACTTCATCAGCATATAGCACTCAATCATAGTTCACTCGGATTACAAAAATCTAACTATATTCATAATAACTAAGATCTTAAACAAGCAATAAATCAGATAAGCAGAATTCCTCTTACAGTTTAACTTCAAAATTATATACTACAAAAGCTTGGAAAACAAATAAGCAGATGCTCTTAGCAGAAGATCAGATTATTGAAATGCAGATTTCTCAGATATATAGAACATCTTTGCTCAAGATAAATCAGAAAATCTTATTAATGCATATAAAGAGCTAAATGCTGCTTTTAGAATCGAATTCGCAGAAAAGAATCCAGAATTAATAACTTCAGATGAATAAAACAATTATATTAAGAATATATATAGCATATCAGCGCACGGATATCAGAAAGTTAGAGCAATCTACAAATGCATAAAAAAATACTAGAGCTTATCAAGCTTTAGGAAAAGAATTGAGAACATCTTATAACAATGCAATAGCTGCAAGAAAAATAAGATAGAAAGATACAAGCTTTATAAACTACTGTATCTCTTACTAATATCTACAACTGTTTAGCAATCCATTAATCTAAACTTTATTATTAAGCTATCTTTCTTACGAAAACTTTTAACTAAAATGTAATATAATAGCATTCTAGTAATGATTTGCAAACTGAGCAAGTATACTTACTTTCTTCTCTATAAGGAAAGCAGTATAGCAGAAGAATTTGTATATGCATTTCTCAGAACAATTATCGCTAATTATAGCATGCTAGAAGAAGTAATTTCCAATAAAAATAGAAAGTTCAATTCAAAGTTTTGAACTTCGCTTATAAAACAACTTGAAATATACTATAGAATATCTATAGCATTTCATCCGCAAACAGATAAACAGATGAAAAGAATAAATCAGATTATTAAATAGTATCTTCGATACTATATTAATCAGAAATAAAACAATTAAATTAATCTATTGCCCCTTGCATAGTTTGCTTATAATAATATAAATACAAGCATAATAAAGAAATCACTATTCTTCATACTTTACAAATACAATCCAATAGCTTATTACAAAGTATTGCTAGAAGTAGATATAGAAGCTGCAAATAAAAAAGTTAAGAAAATTAAGAAGATTCAGAAGGAACTCTAATCAGAATTACAATTCGTTCAAGAACAAATAATACAGTATGCAAACTTCAAAAGAATTGAGAAACTAATTCTACAGAAGAGAGATAAGATCTACCTATTTCAAAAAAATATTAAAATAATCAAACTTAGCAATAAACTCAATTACAAAAAGTTGGAACTATTCAAAATCTTGCAACAGATTTCTCCGGTTAACTACGAATTAGCATTATCTTATAGAATGAGAATATACTCGGTTTTTCATATCTTACTGCTGAAACCAGCAGCATAGGAAATACCAGCGAACAATACAGCAGAAGTAGAAAATAACGAACCAGAGTATAAGATGGAGAAGATTCTTAAGCACAGAAGCACAGACAGCACGAGAGAATACCTCATCAAATGGAAAGATTACTCAGCAAGTGAAAATTCATAGAAACTACGGAAAAATATCAAAAACGCTCAGAAAAAAATAGCTAAGTATTGAAAAAGAAAGGAAACCAGCACCTAGGATGATTGCTTCACCCCGAACCGAGATTCAGGAATCTCATTCTCCAAAAAACCAGAATAATCCACTACAGCTCTACTAGAATTAATAGAGTTCCAGTCAAACCCATCGAATAAGAAATCCTTAGCCAAAATACTCTTAGCCAATACCACCTTACGAACTAATACAGCAAGATTGCGCTCCTTCTTCTTGCAACATTTCTGCTCATCCAGCTTATCAAGAGACTTAAGGCCTGCATTCACCATCTAAGCGCTTCGGAAAGCAAGAGATCTACGCTGAATGCGCAGACGAGCGAGACGAGCAGCGGACTCTGAGATCTTCGCGCAAGCCTCGTTAAGGACCTCCAACGCTCAGCAATAAGCTCCCTCCAGCTCCGCCTCCGCCTTCCGCTCCTTCAATTCCAGCCTCTTATCTTCTGCTATGATGTGCAAGACTAAGAAAAGGAGGGGGAATATTAGCAAGAGAGAAAGAAAAGGAGAAGGGATACTTATAAGCGGAAATAGAAACTCTACAGCTATTACAAGAACAAGCATAATGAATATACTGAGAATAATACTTTGCATTATTCATTATTTTGCATATTAAGCTCCGAGAAGCGCAAGCAGTACAAGGCATAATCTTGAAACCAAACTGATTAATAGCTAGGAAAAGGCAGTTATACTATTCAGTTTTCTTAGAAAAAGATTTCTCAACTCTATTCAACATCTTAATTAGGAAAGCAAGATTATATATATAGAAAACTTGCTAGAATACTTATAAAAGATTATTAAGAATAACAACTAATAGAAGAAAGATGATGTTATAATCCATCCAACATACAGATTACGAAAACAGATCACAAGTAATAAGAACTAGATATCAAGAACCCAACGTTCTGATAAAGCATTAATTACATAATCCAGGAGAAAAGATACAGGAATGAATTACCAGGAGTACCAGAAGCACAGCTCACCAGACTTACCCGAATCACTGCAGTAATCCGTAGAAGCGCAGCCAGACAATGATCCATACTGAAGAGCTGAATATATAAGAACACGTTTATTACCGTTAGATAGACTCAGTACATAGCTCTTCAGTTATCAATCTAAGTATTCAGTCTCATACACTGAGTAGCTTCAAAGGCAGTGAACACTTGCATCGCTTATTAAGAACTTGTACGGTTCCGTATTCAAGGACTTGATACTTCGATACCGCTCTTGTTAGCATAAACCCCCTTTGTGTACTTTGGAATCTTCGGATTGCTGCAGTGCTCATTACAACTTGCTTGTAGCAATACTGCTTGATTAAAGAGTTAAGAGTTGAAAATAGCATTTATTTGAAAGAACTGAGAATATCTTGTTTCAAGCTTAAGAAGTATTAGATCTAGTATTTTAATATTATAATTAAGAGATTCTAGCACTCAATAATGCCTGAATAGAGATTCCTATTGTTCTTTATTCTTTATAGAATTCTTTCTATTCAGCTTTGAGAAAGCTATTCAGTTCTGATAAGATCTGAACAGAGCTTTTAATAGTTTTTGCTAGTTAGCTTAAAGAGAATCTTTTTTCTTTGCTTATTAGATAGAGCTTTGAAGATTGAGTTTAGCCTAACTCCAGTATAGGCGTACTCCAGCCTTCTGCAGCTTATTAAGCTTTTTTTCTGCTCAAGCTGAAGTTAGTAAATTGAAGCAAGATTTCATTAAAGCTGTTCAATAGTCTTAATAAGCAGATTATTATTAAATGCTATAGCAAGAAGATATTGTTGCATTTTAGCTTACTCTATCTGGAAGCAAATTCTGATAGCAGCAAGAAAGTTATTAAAGCTTTAAAATCTCTCAACTTCATTAATGCTGTAAACCCAAGCTAGATTTAGGAGATTCTAATGCTGCTAGCATCAGTTTTGGAAATCAGTGCCTTGCTTAATAGCTAGCTTAAGGTAATAGCGTTACTAAAAGCGAATAATCTGTTTCATGCTCTCTTCAGATGAACAGAGATCTTTCTTCAAGTTTCTAAGCATCTGTTGAATCAAGAGAGACTTCTTTTCTGAATAGATATGCATATAAGAAACGAAAACTAACAGAGATACTGTTTTCTAAATTCAGTTCTACATCCTCTATATATTCTAATAAGCATACAACTACTTATTTTAATAAAGCTAAAAGCATTTCATCTTCTGATTGTAGAGAATAGCTTATTTCTAAATAGAAAGTAGCTTGTAATTCTCCATTATAGTATTTTTGCATTCCTTCTCAAGATTCTGAGTAAACTTGGAAAACTCGAGATCGAAGTCTTCAGATTCGAGAGAGAGCATATCTGGGCCATCCGGATCTAGGTACTCCCAAACACCCTTTCCCTTACTCTGGAACTGCAAAATGCTGTACCAGGATGGAAAGGAGTAGATATCAGTACACTTTACCGAGAGCATGAGATCGTCAGGTTCGCGCTTCATCGTAGGCTTGATGAAGCATAAGTATAATTATTTGGAACAAAAGATGTATTCTGAAAGAATAAGAAGTGAATAGCTCAGTCTGTTTCGATAGATAAGAGGAAGATTAAACCCGATTCTTGCGAACCGGGCTCATAACTAAGAAGAAACGTATGAGCTGAGTACGTGAAAGTGGCTGAATGAGTATTGAGATTGAATCTATCTAATACAAAAGGAAGATCTTCTAAGTAACTAAACCAGGCTCTGAGATGGTTTATGAGGAGACCAAAACAGAGGGTTAGGGTTAAATATGCCCCATTTTTCACACCTGAGTGTTCTGTTAGATGAGAAGATTGCACGTGCAACAGTATGCGTACCACGCCGCTTAGCTCCGCCACGAACACCACTGCTTTCCCCCAATTGCAAGGTTTCTCTTTCCTCTGATGGGTAGTCATCGGCTGCCTTAGCAGAGAGCTGCTCTGCGAAAGCATGATGAAGATGGGCAGGTCCTGCGTGGAGTTCGTTGAGCAATTTCGTCAACTTGGATTGGTTCTTGAATGCGTGTTTCAATTTTGTCGCTGTCGTTGCGGTGTAGTATGCACGCCAGACCAACTCCCCTTTACTTAGAATGATTCGCTCGATTGAACCCTCATCAGCCTGAGTTGCTTTCTTCAGCGCATTGTCTAACCCATGCAAGTTTCGCTTTTTCCGATGCTCCCTCAACACTAATGTAACAAGTTCTGCAAGACGTGAGTCCATTGAGGTTCAGGGACTTTCAAAAATGAGTGTTTGACAAGAAGCTTGAAAAAACGAGGCCTGAAGAACGAGGCGGGGAAAAACGAGGGAGGCGGGGAAAACCGACGTCGGGAAAAACGAGGCCGAGAAAAACGAGGTTTGGAGAGTAGGGTTTCAAGAAGGTGCAGCACGTCTGGGGCCGAGCGCTTACGTGCCGACTCTTCATTGGGTTGTTTCTCGAACCAGCTAATATTGCCTGCAGCACTACCAAAGCTTTGCATCAGTCTATCCTAATTTGAAATTATTCACATTTTGGATACAATCTGCCAAGGTCTGTAAAGCCTTCTGCAGAGATAAACGAGAATATTCTTCCTGCTCCTCCAGTTGCTTCAGCTAATGCATGCGGAAGCTGGACCGAGTAGTCTGATAAGTTTCGTAGAGCATAGTTGCAAGAATTTAGATTTAAAGGCTTCGCAATCTTCGCCAAACGGAGCAGCATGATAGAGATGTTCTTCTCACGAGCTCCAAACTTTTCTCTACTCCCTGCTATCATAAACCTTCCTAGTTCCTACAACAGCATTCATTCATTTCCCAAGCTTTGAGCATCACCATATATCGATATACATATCCTACCACCATGCTCGTCAACTCCTGTATATAGTCATCCATCCTCGATGAACAGGGAAAGAAGCAAATATTCCGAGAAGATTGCATGAAAAAATCCTGCCCATCATTGAGATTATACAATGGGCCTAAGAGCAATGAGTTTAAGAAATAGTTTGATAGAAGCAGTATAGTAAGTATGCTGCAGCCCCTAGCATTACCACATACTCGCATTTATATATCTTTACTAATTCAATTAGTTAGCGATAACAATATAACTCAGTCAATCTGTAGATCACGAACCGATTATAAGCAACAAGAACCAGTATCTGAATTCAATATCCGGCAAAGAGGGAAATTGTATTACTCAGGATGATGAATCAGTAGCGATGCAGCAAATCTAGAATCAACGGATCAGTCGAGCTAGTCTTAAGAAGCTGGGTATATTTACAACGTTCATTACTAGTATATAGATGTTTTATATAGCTCTTCAGTCATCACGCCAAGTATCAGTTCCCTATGTACAGTATCTTCCTTGCTCAAAACTTATACTGCAAATTGTCTTTCAGTATGTTCCAATATTGAAGATTAATCAGCTATTAAAAGAAGGAGACTATAGTACTATCCTTCCAGTAATACTTAATCATAATAGCAAATCAGTTTATATCAATATACACCTTGGATTTGTATTCAAGATGATGTTTAACGCAGTGCAGATTGCGAATATTAAGGTATAGCACTAAGCTGATTATCCAGAATGTATCTCGAAAGCATTCAGCCCGTGCGCCGCCGTTTCCAAACTTCCTTATATAAAAGCGGTATTGCTGAAAACAGTAATTATCTCCCTCGCTAAGACTGAGTATCGGGTATCCGCATCTCGTTTTCGTTACTGTTCGGCAGCGGTAACTGCTCCGCAGAACCGGCTGAGCTGGACTTCCGTTTCCGAGAGCCTTGTAGGAGAGGCACGTGCTCGAGGGGTTGAGAAATGCAAGTGCTGCCTGACAGCTGGCCAGCGATGCGCAAGCTACGACGAAGAGGCTTCTGCTTCTCTGTAGCCTGCGGTGCAGGATTCTGTATGTTTACCATTGAGAGCTATCGTAAGACTCAGGGCAACTCCTTAGCGTGCGTTTCCGCGAGCATCTCTCAGTATGGCCCATGCGCCCTGCACCTGTTTGAGATACAATTCCCTTGCTTATTATTCCAATAAGGTAGAGCTATCTGAAGCTTAAAGACGAGATTGCCCAAGAGAGCTGGAAAGAAGCAGCAGGAACCAATGATGCAGAAGCGTAGAAGACAGCAGCCTACATATTTCAGATATCATAAACATAGATAATTGAGGCAAGTATAAGCTCTATCAAAGGCATAATCTTTGCTAGAAGCATTGAAACTACAGAGAATGAAAATTATATCTAAGAAAGTACAGAAGACCTGCGCTTGCCCTGATTGTAGATTGGTTCAGCGCCGAAGCTTTGAAGAAGCTTTAATCCTTTCTTAACTGCCTAAGCATGCTCATGCTCTTATGTGTTGTAGTTATTTCCTTAGTAGCCAGGCTCCTGCCCTGCTCCTTCAAGCACCTACTCTGTGCTATATAAGAGTATTGAGTGTCTAGCTCGCTCCTTTCTTCATCCTCGCTTCCAGAATCCAGTTCAGTGTGCAGGTTGTTCACGGATTGAATGCTGTTCCTACATTCGCTGCCGACATTATTCTTGCAAGTACTCCAGCTATCCAGCTGCAACTTCTGCATATCCTGCATACAGTCCGTCTGAGGCTCATGTGCAGATAGAGATCTGTTGCTGGTCTCATCAATGCTAGCATATGTTACCCAGCTCGGGCCCAGCTGCAGGTTTTGGATGATATCCGCTTTAGCTTCGCTAACGTTTGCCCCTGAAGCCAAGTATAAGTCTTCCTGGTTGCCGTCTGATAGTTGAAGCCAGCCACTCAGTGTGAATGTAAAGTTTCAATCCTCGTCAGAGACAGCCTCAGTGTAACAAGTGATGTCGCCCTTACTCCTGAGTTCGATAGAAGACCCATCAGCAGCTACTTCGGCATCGAAATCGCTATCGACAAAGGGAGTGCCCGGGACAGAAGTAAGACCCTGGGAATCCTGGTCATCGGCCTGCTCCTTAGGGATGAAGAAGGATCCAGAGGCCTCTGCGCATGGAGATGTAAAGCCATGCCTGGATTTCTGCTCTGAAGCGGTCACAAAGGATTTTGCGGCCGGTGTTCATTCCTCGATGACCCGCAGAGGTCGGATGGTGGATGCTGTGCTCGCCCTACGCTTCTTGGCGTCGACACAAAGTATAGAGCTCGCAGAACGCTTCCGGCTATCAGAGCTAAATTCTTTATCCAACCGCCAGAAATAATTGATGACTTTTTGCGCGCCCCATCGGTCCTTGGCCTCGTAGGCAAGTAGCTCACTGAGTAGTGGTCTGAACTTCCCCCCAACCCTATCCACCATAGGAAGCGCTGTTGTTCGCATCCATTCTTCCTGATACTTAGGCGAGATCTCTTTGCCTTCGGGCACTTTCTTATATGGAAGATCCGTAAGAAGATACAAGGCGACCATCCCCAAGCTGAACATATCAACTTTCTCATTACTCAGCTAACCGTTCAACACCTCAGAAGCCATGAATCCAGGAGTACCAGAGCACCGTTTCATATGGATTTTTAGCACCGAATCACACAGATCGATAATTTTGGCTATTCATCGCGTCTTCTCGGGAGACAAACGAATATTGCGCAGGCTCAAATCCCTATGCACAAGGTTCTGCCCATGGAGGAAGATAAGGAAACAGGCTATCTGTGAGATAATGTCAGTAGGAATAACTGGAGGAAGTGGTGCTTTAGGCCATCGGCGTCGATCACAGATGTAAGTACTTAAACTGAACGGAACATGCTCGAGTATCAACCAGAGTGGAGCAGCCCCATTCGCCATGTAGGCAATATCGATGGCAATGGCGAGATGTAGCTGTTGACGGATTGAATACGTAATTGGCGCTAGCTAACTTGATCACTGGAAGGAAGGGAGAACTTGCATGAGAGAGATGCTTATACAACTGGAACTCCTTCTCAGTCTGCTCATGCTAGCGTCTGATATAGCTCGCGGCATCACCTATCCGCAGGATCATTTCCTTAGCACAGAGGGTTACTGAGTCTGAGCCTACCCTCCTTACGATAAAGACTCTGCCTGATGTCTCTGTAGCATGAGCTGCGCAAATTGCCAGCTCGGGTACTTTCGTATACAGAATGCCATCCCTTGAGATGCAGGATGCTTCGTTAACAGTGGCTGGTTCGCTATCGAGCGGAGGCCAATACTCCAAAGCCTTCGTAACAACTGGATGATCCAGTTCTCAGATATGTTATATAAATTGCTGGAATTCACGACGGGTGCGAGAGGGAAGCCACATGCGAAATGTGAACTTCGAATGGCGTATGATGACGGATTTCTCGATCTCATTCCAGTTCCCTTTGGCGAGATGGATAACATCTTCAGTAGAATGTTCGCTATATTGTATGCACAACTTAGCGTTCTCCAACTCGTTCGTAATTCGCAGAACAGGCTTCCCATCTGAGCGTATGACAAAATCGATGCGGAGACATTTCTTGCTGACCCCTTGTCGGTTGTCTTTGGCAACCTTGAAGTCGATCTCCTTGATATTGGTACCACTACCGAGAATCCAGCAGCCGGCCCGTTTCTGCGCTACCTCGAAGGGAACGCAGAAGACAGACTGCGGGATCATAGCGTCGTTGGGCAGTCAGGAGCGAGCTCTGAGGAGGATCAGAAGTACGACGAAGGACTCGCCCGGTCAGTATTCGGTGTTATATCTGAGGCGTCGTCGTGTTTCCGAGCTGCCGTCTGTCGTCCTCGCGTGCTCCACACCAGGATGGGCCTTAGTCTGGCTTGCTTCGCTTCTTCGTAGTCGGTTCATGGTTCCAGAACCTCACTCGATTGGTTCCTACTACCGGTGTGTTCATTTGAGCCGGGACTGCGAGTTACAAGGAAGGGTGGCTAAGAAGCGGAGTAAGGGATCATTGCAAGTAGAAGTATATTGAAGAGAAAGTAGTACATTGCTTAAAGTTTCACCAGCTTCCCTATTCTACTGACTCGAAGACTTTCGCTTCAAACGTCAACATATACCAGAAATCCAACCACGGAACCCCTTCGCTCGTAAAACTTTGGTGACTGATGCTGAGACTGTTGTCTCGGAGTTATTTGAGATAGAATAGTAAACAAACGAATCGCTAGTTAAACCATCTTCAGAATCATTACAGCAGACCAATGCTTCAGAAGGTTCTTGATGAAACTATGATGTCTCAGCATTAGCAAATGCCAGTATCTGGGTAGAGTGTTGATTGTCGATCGAGAACACATTCTCATGCTCAGTGTAGTGAAAGTCCTCATCTGACAGAGATTCTAGATTCCCTGTGGAACAAATGTCGTGATCGAGGGAGGTTGAGTTCTTTTCAGCACCTAACATTATTATATCAAAGAACCTTAAGAGATTGGCAATGGCAACAGAGGATGCTCGTATCTGGGGGGAGTGTTGATTGTCGATTGAAAACACATTCTCATGCTCGGGATAGTGAAAGTTCTCATCTGACAGGAATTCTGGATTCCCTGTGGAACAAATATCGCAATCGAGGGAGATTGAGTTCTTTTCAGCATTTAATATCTCTGTATTGAGAATCAGCAGAAGCTGTGCTGAATAAAGGCAGATAACTTACAGTTTGTTTCTTAAAGCATTCGAGCATATCTACTCGAAGCATATAGCACTAGTTCTAGCAGCTGAACTTTTTGATCCTCAGGGCAGCAACAGCGCAGCTCATAGCAATCCAGCACTTGCTTGCCGAAGTTATCTGTGATAGAAAAAAGTTCACTATGGAAGTAAGCCATGATTGAGAAATGAAAGGAGATAATGATAAAGAAAAGGAAAAGGAAGAGCATTCTAGATTATACGAAGGCATCTATATACTTTAGCGAAGGAGAACAGTGCATTTTGACTCTACCTCACTCTCAGATTATCAATAATCAACAGCCTCTGGTAAAAACCCCCCTGCTCTTCAGTCTACTGCCAGAGTCAATAGCAGTCGCTGCGGTCCACAGTTAGATCAGTAGAACTGCTTGCAGTCCTTGCGGTCCTCTTCTGATTGGCTGAATTTGTAATGCAACACTAGGTTATGTAAGCACCGTGTTGGATGTTGAATCCTGATATCTGGTCCACTGTTCCGTGTGGCCCGTCCTGTGACCTGAAACGGGTATAAGCTGAGCAAAGATTATCACCCTTGCGCCAGCTTCCGCAGTTAGAAGCACAATCAAGCTAAGATCTTTAGGTAGCGGCCCGGTAGCAGCCCCGACATGAGAGTTAGCTCGCGACAGCCTTCATTGGTTTATCACAGCCAGGGTAAAGAGGCAGAACTTCGGCGATTCACTTGCTGAAGCTTGCGAATTTTAAGTGCTTGCTTAGCACTATACTAAATCGGGCTAAATCGGTAGACGTTGACGTGCGTAAGTCGATACCGGTAGGTCTCAGCCCTCCTGACCCTGATTTCCCTACTCAGACGTTGTCCCCCCTCCCTCACTTTCCCCTACACAAATTCAACATTCTAAACCTAGGAGTACCTAGGAAAGTATCGAGCTTCTTGTCTGCTTGTGAATATTCTTATACCCATCTAGTCAGCTACTGCTGAGCCTGCATTCCAGCTATCCCTCCATTCAGGCATCACATTCAGATCTCTACACAGTGCAAGCAGAGTCTTCTACATCATTAGCATCGCCTTTCTCGCTTTAAGCTTCGCGCCTAGCTCCACATTCAGAGCAATAAAATAATGCAATCAGCATCTTTAGTATTATCTGCATTATTAGCATCTTCAGTGTTATCTGCATTATAAGCATCTTTCGTATTCTTATTTAGCTCCATATTAATCATACGATTTTCAGAGCAATAATTAGCATCTGCGCTATTAGCATTTTCAGTATTATCTGCATTACAAGCGTTTTTTGTATTCGCATTTAGCTCCGCTCTAGCTGATGCTATCCAAGGGTTATGCTAACTTGGATCTTAGCATCTCCACGATCAGGAATCTCTAGCTAAGTTGGTATTTCATCACTTAACAACTCTTTAGCTGCAGAAGCACGCTCTAAACAAATGAATTGTATCCAGCATGCGCATCGAAGTGCTCACTCCAGCTGCAACTAAACAGAGAAGTTAATGCACAGAGGTTGGGATTTCAATTGATCGCTATTTTGAAGAAGCGCTGCTACCAGGGAATCATTTAGAATTGCTCCTTCCTCCCAGGTTCTTTCCCAAGTTCCTTCCTTTTTGAAATAGCCAGGTTAACGAATTAAGTAGTGATCCTTCTCCCGGATAGTTCTTCCTATTCTCGTCTCCGCCCCAAGTTACAGAGCAATCAAGATGCAAGTCTGTATGAATGAAAGAGAAGGGAGCAGGTGAACCAGGCAGGCAGGGTAAGCCACTGTTGTCTACCCAAGTATCTCGTCCTACATGATCAAACTCAATCAGTTCTCCTGCTCAAGCTCTACACATCTTTGAGTACAGGATATTTCCATAGTCATTGCAAAACCGCCGATACTATCCTTTACTTTGAGAAGCATTACCACCCACTACTTCCCAGCGAACAGAACAAGCCTCGAGTGCACTTCATGAAGATATTGATGGATTTACTACAGCAATATAGCTGTAACAAGAGCCAGAGTGCCGCCACTCGGGAGATGCAACAGACTATAGAAGAGGAACATGAAAGCCAGATGTTGTCAGTAATATCGATCTTGCTTTTTCCGAGCTTACTATATCTAATCAGAATATTCAAGATCCCATCCTTTCCAGCTTCAGTTCAAGAAAAGGGAGAATTATTGAAACTCCCTTGATCGAAGCAATAGTGGAAAACAAAGTGCAACCAAGGAGTTCACTCATAGAAAGTACAAGGCGAAGACCAGAGAGGAGATTCATATATTCATATCAACATTAGTGTCCTCAATCCATACATACTATCCTAGCTATTTCTAATTCTAGAGTATAAGCTTAAGAGGTTCTTCTGCCCCTTGAAGCAATCGCATAACAACAAAACCCTAAGTAAGTACCATCCATTCTACTCGAAATGATGATTCAAGCTAACAACTTCTTTTGGTTTGCATAAAGACGACTCAGTACCATATAATCCCTCCCCTAGCTCCGGCCGAAAAAGCATGCCACACATCCAGCAGTACAGTATTGCTGCCCCTCAGAATGCTTTGCTCCCTTTACCAATGAGCCTTGAGATCCCAGCAACTCATTTGCTCCGGAAGCATTCAGACGTGAGTCAAGGATGTGCGACTCCATCGAAACGCCGCCGTGATTTTAACAAAGAGGATACGCCATACAAAAGACAGCATACAGCTTTAACAACTCAGAGCTCAGCTCTGCAACCAACTACATTCAAACAGTACCCAGTGCTTACAGAACTCCCTGAAAATCGACAATCACTTCAGATTCCTTTTCATATTGATGCCCAAGATAAAGCATATGCCTACCCTGTATCAGCAGATTGCATTTTGAACAATAATCAAGATAAATTCTATGCACGGATACCTATATCTGCTGGAAATCTAGAGAACTTTGCTAGATGCTTCTTTCATATTGATGTTCGGAATCATAGCTTATGGCAATCCATTGAGCCAAGTTCAAAGATATTAAGTTCTCTTATATTGCAGGATGAGTATCCTGATGAGGATAGTATAAGCAAGATCTTTGGAAAGGGCTTAGGGAAAAGATTCCTTCAGTCTATACAGAAAAGAAGGGAATAAAGCTCAAAGAGTTTCTTGGAAATAGAAATCTACCATATCAGAGTACCAGCAGCTTATATTGCAATAAACATTCGAGACTGAATACTATTACAAGATTCATATTCTATAATATATGCTTGCAAATCTCTGAGGCATCTACTGGTTTTCAAAGTGCTCATATTAGAAAATCATTAAAACCTGATTATATATTGCATTCCAATTTTGCTAGCCCATCATCATCACCTAGTAACAAGAACAGAATAACAGGCTGGTTATGCATTAGCCATCAATAACAGCAACTACATCATCATCATCACCACCACCACCACCACCACCACCATCATCATCATCATCATCATCATCAGTAACATCATCACCTGCAGCATGCAAGCAATGTGGTACTGCGATCTAGTTTTAAGCATCGGTTGGTACAATGGTCTAGCTCCTGCGCCCGTATTTTTGGTTCTGTAGTCTCCGCATACCGCGCACGGATCACTAATGTAGATTCAGTTAGTGGCCCATGCACAACGTGCCACTTCCTAAGTCCACTGTCCCCGTGACCTGTTTCCGTGACCTGCATGTTGGATGGGTCATAACAACATTGCTTGTAACCTATTTCTGTTGAGTCGTAACACCGAGACGGCTGCTCCAGAAACCTGCCACGTCCATAGTCATAAAGTTGTAACGCTCAAATCTGCAGACTTTATCACTCTTCCCATCCTGACGAGACAAGATAGCTTCTAGCACTCATCTTCAAGAAATTCAACGCATTTTCCAAGATATCATCGCCGAGATGGAGTTGCAGCTTCACGAATCACTTACAGACCTCGATCTAAACTCCATCTTCAAGCAAGACCAGCGCCTCACTCGAAGCCACAACTCGGCTCTCAAGAAGCAATTGAGACTTCGCATCCATCAAGCAGCTGATAACACTGTACAGTTATTCAGTGAGCGGCTTACTCAGTTGGAAGCAACGTCGCCGAGTATAAGTACACCGCGGAAAGTGCTTATAACAGCCAATCCCACGCAGCTGACAATGGCAATCAGATCGTCGCCCTAATCAATGTAGCGCCAGTCGAGGGCGATGGAGATGCTGCTCAAGCCTGCACTGACTCACTGTACAGCCTGCCTGCTCAAGCAATGGGCCCAGACATGGTGCACAGCCTTTCTGGCATCGTTCAGCAGCGCGGCTTCAAAGGCCTCATCAAAATCATCAGCCTTGAGAGTCCGACATTCAGCCTTGCCGCGATCTCCAGCACTATCAAAGCCATACCACACGCACCCAAGGGTTGGGCAAGCTTAACTATGGAGTACGGACAGTCATTAATACAGAGCTTCGCAAATCTTTTTCGATTCAATTGCTCAAAATGGAAGTTTCCCAACCTAATATTACCAGTTGAGATGCCAACAGAAAGCGAAATCCAGAATCATCTCTGCCAACTGGTTCGCTCTCCTCCGACAGAGAAAATCCCTTACTATATCGGATCTCCGCTCACTACTCATTTCGATCACCTTCTCCACCCGGGCAAGCTTCGCAACTTAGACCATATGGATAGCATTACTTCGATGTACTAGCACGTTGGCAATAAAGACTCAGGAATAGCATTTCATTGTGAAGATTCGAGGCTGCGATCATGCAACTTGACGATTCAAGGTTACAAGCTTTGGATTATAATTCAAGAAGCCAGCATAACGCTATTCGAAGACTTTATTCAACAATCTTGCACCGATTCTATTACAAAATGCGATCAGTGGATACATCATCAAAGTCTCTTGGTCGATACTAAAACGCTGAATGCTATGGATATTCAATATCAGTTGTTTTGTGCTGAGCCTAGCGATCTGGTAGTTACAGAGCCGCGGCAATATTATGCTGTGGTTAATCTAACTACCTGTTTCGCAATATCGATCAACTTTGTGCTTCCAGCCGAGCCAGCTCTAGCGCCGACCAAGACATGCAACGAGTATGGCCTGTCAAGTCTACGATATCCGACGGTTTCGGCAGTTGTGAGTGACAAGAACGTCCGGAGCACGGAACAAGGCAGAGCGCTCACTGCAAGAAGCGTTCGCACCCGGAGGATACCAGTGACAGCGATATTGCATGGATATCCCTCCAGCAACGTTCATGCTTCTCAAGCGCCTACAACAGCCTGCACCTCAGCTGAGCCCAGCTCTGTAAACATCGAAGAGTTAAGCCAAGCTCAAATTTTATTGTCTGGTGATTCCTCGGCCTCCATATCGCATGGTTCACCCCTCTCGATCGTGCCTCCTGCTGCTTCTCCTGCTCCGTCTTCTGCAGCTGAGTCTGCTGAGTCTGCTGAGTCTGCTGAGTCTGCTGAATCTGCCGAGTCTGCTGAGTCTGCCAAGTCTGCTGAGTCTGCCGAGTCTGCCGAGTCTGCTGAGTCTGAGTCTGCTCCGTCTCCTTCAATCGAGTCCAGCACTATCGATCTCGAACCGCGTTTTGATACTCCCGATAAATTACTACAGGAGCACGGTTTGAAGCGGAAAGCGCCAGATAATCCTCTGGTTGAGCATCAGTCAAGACGAATAAGAGCTCGTTTCGAGAAGATGAGAAACAAAATACCCACCGAGCTACGCCCAACTCATCAGGCCGTTGAACTAGTCAAAGCAATCAAAGACAACAATACTATCAACAAATTCTGCGAACTAGTCAATACGAGGAGAGTGCTTATAGGTTCGCTGCAGCTATTACGCAGCTCCTCGTACAACAAGTTGCAATACAGCAAGGATTCTGAACTTCTCAGCATAGCTAAGCACCTCGTGCTCATTAGGCATCAGCAAGTCTCTCTAGCCACAACACGGATTCGCCAGTATCTGATAGCTCAACTATGTGCCAGCTTAAGAAAAGATAGCCATCGATTGAATAGCAGAATAAAGCAGGATGTTTTGAAAATAACCGGACTGAGCACAAATCAATACAACTATAACATCTAGCAAGGCAAGAAGTAGTTGAGACTTTGCTCTCCGAAATTCGATAGTTTGCTATGCTTTGCCCTTGCATATTGCAAAGAATCAACGAAGAAGCTCGATCTGAGTAACTATAAACTTCAGGTATTTCATCACCTACTGCAGAACAACGAATACATAACTTCATTATGCTCAGTCAGCAAGGCGTTCCAAGAAAGCCTTGGAGGTTATGATATCCACTTCAAATGAGAAACTCCAAGATTGCACTCTGTCAAAGATTTGCCAGAAACTGAGAAGCTATCCTACTTACAGCCATTCGAATCTCTACGCATAAATACTTTCCACCCAGAAGACTTCCCGGGATCAGCACAAGATCCAACTCTTTTATCAGATATCGGGGCGCAGTGCAATTTCTGTAACGAATCAGCATGCTATTGCTTCGAGACATTGCCAAGCCAGAATATCAGGATCAAAAGATGTGCTGGGAAGGGGCTCGGCCTTCAGGCAGTCTCAGATCAATGCAATACTGTTGCTTTCCACAGCGATTCTCTCCTAAGCTTTCTTACTAGCAAGCTTATGCCTCAGGGAACATGCAATCACGATATAGCTGCTGATATAACTGACTGTTAGATCGATTGCTCGAAAGCAAGCAGTTGCTTTCAACTTTTGAATCATACATGCGCTGAACATGCAGTTGCTAGCCTGAAGATAAAGAGAATATCTAGTCGAAAGATATTAGCTATTGAAGCACTTCGGAATATTCAAAGTGGTACAGAGATCACAATTAACTACAGTTTGAAAGCACATTATTTGAACTGCAATTTATATAAGCAGATAACTTGAATACATCTTGCAAACTCTATTGCTGCAATAATCAATTGCTGGCTATATTTAAATATTGATAAGCTGAGATCTGAAGAGAAGACAGGATAGAACTGCTTAGCTTGAGAATAGATTCTATTATTCTAGATTGAGAATTGAGTTAAGTAGATGCTAATCCGAGAATACTAGCTGATACTTAGTCTATAAGCTTGTAATGAAATCCTCTTTCATCACCATATATACTCAGCGAAGTTAGTTTATCTATAGCGTGCTTTACGAACGAGAGGAACAGCTCCTTGTTCTAATATCCATTCTTTATTGCTTGCACTTATTATAATAGCACGTTCTTAAGCATAACTATACTCGATATTTACAAGAATTATTAATATTCAGCAGTTATTAAGAGATAAGCAGATAATTAGAGTTGATAGAAACTATTATAAAGGGTTTAAGTTTACTGATTCGGGTAATAGAAGAATAAAGCGATACAATAATAAACAGCATATTATGCATACTGCTTGCGTTTCCACTCAGTCTGCGAAACCAGAGCTTCTTCAGCAGCAATAGATGTGATATCACTATTCAACTCATCCAAATAGTAACCAGCAATCATATCCACTTTGATAACCGAATCACGTCCGCATCTGGCCCCTTCCCATATGGAACCAATACTGAAATATGCAGGAATCTCATCTGAGCTTCAGATTTCGCTCTCTTCTACAGAATTATGAATAAATCCTAACAAGAGCAACTCATTTAAGATCTTCAGAATGAACATAGCATAGCAATCACCTTATATAGTATGAATATCAGCAAGCTTAATGTAGACTTAGCGAATATACATTCTGAAGCGGAAGCAACCTTGGGAGTATAACGGTGTGCATATGGTTCCTAACGATTCTAATTAAAATTCGAGGCTTGGTCTTGGGTCAGGAGAATATATTTACGTGGTAAAAGTGATTTCTCATCAACTTCTAGTTGGCCGATTGCAGGAAGCGCGATTGATGCAGGGTGGGCACGATCAAACGGCAAGATATAAGGTGTAATGAGCACTGCAGCAATCCGAAGATTCCTAAGTACACGAAGGGGTTTATGCTAACAAGAGCGGTGTCAAAGTGTCAAGTCCTTGAATACGGAACCGTACAAGTCCTAATAAGCGATGCAAGTGTTCACTGCCTTTGGGGCTACTCAGTGTATGAAACTGAATACTTAGATTGACAACTGAAGAGCTATGTACTGAATCTATCTAATGGTAATGAACGTGTTCTTATATATCCAGCTCTTTAGTATGGATATGTTGGATAGCAACATATCCAAGTTATCCTGCTAGCTCTGAATAGCACATATCCGAAGCTATCCTTCCTGATTGGCCGTGCCCATAACCCTAACCCTGGATTATGTAATCAATGCTTTGTCAGGATGTTGAGTTCTTGACGCCTGGTCCCTGTTACCCGTGATCTGTTCTGTGATCTGCATGTTGGATGGGTCATAACATCATCTCCCTCCTATCAGTCGTTGTTCCCAACGATCTTTTGTAAGTATTCTAGCAAGTCCTCCGTATACGTGATCTTGCCTTCCTAATTGAGATATCGAACAGAATCAACAAATCCCGCTCTCGTGCCGAGAAGACTAAACAAAAGGATTCTCTTCTTTCCTTGGTTCTTCAAAACGCCATTACCATGCCTTCTTGTTCCTTCTGCGAGGGTCGTAGTATTCAGTCTTGTCAAGTCTCCGTTGAGAATTCCTCTTGCTGCGCTGAATGTGTTCGCCTGGGTCGCTCTCGGTGCGATGTTCAAGGGTTGAGCGCAGCGGAAATTCGTCGGATAGGCGTTCAGCACCAACGCCTGGAGAACTAACTCGAGAGTGCTGAGGAGCGGCTGCGCGATGCTGCTGCGGAGGTAGGATGTTTGCGGAAGCAGAAGCGTTTATGGTTTGAGAGGATGATGAAAGCTATTCGTCGAGGCTTTTCCAGTGTGGAGGAGTTGGAACGTGAGGAGGCTGAGGAGGAGCGAGCTCGCATTGCTGCTGGGGTTCGTTCTATGGTTGCAGAGGAATCTGCTGTGGTTGCTGGAGATCCTTCTTTTGAGAGTTTTGACTGGAATTCCGTGGACGTGGGGAATGCAGTGGTGGATTAGTCTGGGTTTTTGGATGAGATGGTGAGCTCTGGGCTCCTCTCCGGGCCGGAGCGGTTGTCTTAGGTGCTGGCCTTCCTTTTCCAATATTCAGCTACCTTTTCCTGAGCGTTTTCAACGTTCTCCCGTGGTTTCCATGAATTTTCACTTGCTAGGTAACCTTTCCACTTGATGAGATATTCCCTTGTGTTGTCTGTATCTCTGTGCTTGAGGATCTTCTCTATCTTATATTCTGGTTCGTTATTTTCTACTTCTGCTGTATTGTCTGCTGGTGTTTCCTGTACTGCTGGTTCCAGTAGTGAGATGTGGAAAACCGGATGTATCCTCATCCCATGAGATAATGCTAATTCGTAGTTAACTGAGGAGATCTGTTATAAGATTTTGAATGGTTCTAACTTCTTGTAATCGAGTTTGTTGCTAGATCTGATTGTTTTGATATTTTTCCGAAGTAGGTAAACCTTATCTCCTTCCTATAGGATTGATCTCTCAATCCTTTTGGAGTTTGTATACTGCATCATTCGTTCTTGGACGAATTGTAACTCTGATCGGAGTTCTTCCTGAACTTTCTTGATCTTCTTAACCCTTTTGTCTGCAGCTTCTGCATCTGCTCCTAGCAGTACTTCATAATAAGCTGTTGGATTGTATCCATAGAATACGAAGAATAGCGATTTCTTCGTTGTGCTCGTATCTGCG